TGGGCTTGTACTGTTCCTAATGAACCCAGACTTGAGCAATTGTTGAACCTGCCTTTCTATTTCTCCCTTTTGGAAATGAGGATATCTATACGGTCTAACATTGACCGGGGCTGAGTTGGGCTCTAGATGAATTTCATGGTCCAATTGCCTATGAGGAGGTAACTCATGTGGCTCTTGAAAGATGGTGTCAAACTCTTTTAGCAGGGTCTGGACATGAGGATCAGTAGCTGGACCTTCTATAGGGGAACTAGAACTCAACAAAGAGAGTTGGTAGAGTGATGCAATTTGTCCTGTATGTTGAATTTTTCTGAATTGGTTCAAAGAAATAGGACCAGTGTGTTTATCACCTTGCAATTTAATTGTCTCACCTTGCCAAGAAAACTGCATTGTAAGGTGAGTGTAATCCAACACTATAGGTCCTAAAATTTGCAACCACTGGACTCCTAACACCATGTCTGCCCCTTGAATAGGCAAAATATATAAATCAACCAGAAAAACATGCCTTTGAATCTGAACTGGAACAGCTGGACAAAATCCTTCACACTTCAATGTCTGTCCATTTCCTACCATTACATCAAATTGCTTGTCAGTAACCAGTGGTAAACAAAGGGTAGAAACCACCCTTGGCTGGAGAAAATTGTGGGGTGCTTCCCCCATCAACCAATAAGGATAACTCAGACTTGCCAATGTGGCAATTGAAGCGAAGAGTTTGAGGTACACTAAAGCCAGATAATGCATGAAGGCTGATCTGAGGTGTAGGGTCAGGTTCATCCTTGGTTTCTTGTGGTGTGTTCATAGAATCAATATCTTCAGGGTCTAGTTGTTCATCATCCGGTACAATTAAAACATGAACAGAGGCTTTGCATTTATGGCCCATGAAGTATTTATCACCACAATAAAAGCACAGTTTCTTGTCTCTCCTCTCTTGGATTTCACTCTGGGTCAAACGGTTAATAGGGCTTTTGGTGGAAACAGTAGGGTCACTACTAGTTATAGGTTTAAATTGTTTAGTTTGAGTGTTTGGTGTAGGTAATAAAGGGGGGTGTGGAGAGTGAATTTTAGGCTGAATGTTTTTGGTTTGGAGTTTAAGCTCCTGAATCTTGGCTAGAGCTATGGCTTTGGTTAGGGTGGGGGGATCAAAAGAGGAAACCTCATATTGAATTTGAGGTTTTAATCCTGAGATAAAGCAACTCAGTAAGAAGGATTCAGGTAACCCATTTACCTTGTTGGACAGAGATTCGAACTCAGCCTGATACTCCATGACAGAACCCTGTTGCATCAGCTTAGCCAATTTCCCTTGATAGTCTTCGAGCTCTGAAGGTCTAAAGCGCACTTGAAGAGAGTGTAGAAATCCTTCCCATGAACCTATGGTTGTGTTCTTGTTCAACCATCGATACCATACTAAAGCTTTTCCCGAGAAATAGAATGGGGCTATCTTCAGTCGTTGCTCATCAACAATGTCATAATATTCAAAGAATTGACTTATCTGATAAATCCAATCTTGTGGGTCTGAAGAGCCATCAAACTTCGAAACCTTAAGACGCAGGTTTTTTGCTGCTGGAAAATCCTTGGGTCCCAGATTGTGGTTGCTAGCAGAAGAAGCGGTGGAGGTTTGATGTTCTCTGTAGTTGTCAAAAATCGCATCGAGCTTGCATGTGATCTCCAGGAATTGTTTGTTCATCTGACTCTTGAGGTTGTCAATTTCAGATTGGGTTTGGTCAACCCTATCGTCGAGAGTGCGAACACGATTGTCGGGTGCCATGTGTTCAGGGATGAAAGCACCAGTTGATAGAATTACAGTTCTACCATAAGATAGAGGGAAAGAGATGAGAGGAGAATCACGAACAGAGAAAGAGAGAGATGAGAGAAGAATCAAGTAACTTTTATTCACTAATTTTCTGCCGAACTACAACCTTTGTTCCTCTATTTATTTTCAGAATAATACAAGTTAGTTACAACTACTTGTAACTATATTATCTACAAAGCAATTCCATTCCTACATCAGTACAGAAACACACAATCAATATCTCACTACTTACATACAAATTCTTCATCATTGAATCGATTGGGTTTCCTTACATTTCTTCTGGGTCTCCTTTCTGCCATGGGTCGTATCTCTTCAAGCTCCAGTGATCCTTCTTGAACTCCTGTATTAGCATGCATCATTGTATCTCCTTCTCCATTTGGATTCAACGGGTCTTCTAATAGTGTCCTAGAACTTGACTCAGAAAGTACCAATTCATTTGCATCTATCGGTTTATTGGTTTGGGTTGGGTTGTTACCCATATTATCTGGGCTTGGGTCCCTGGGGACCATATCAACTTTCTTATGAAAACTTATGTGAAATGATTTTGTTATGGATTTTATATTGGAATTTTAAGTATAAAATATAAATGAGGCAGGATCCTTTGACATCAGTGTCAAATTTAAAATTTGATACCGCATTTAAGAGCCATTAGATAAAAAATATCAATGACATGACTTTGATTTGAAAACATGTGACATCTTTTTTTGATCTAATAACTCTCAGATGAGATGTCAAATTTCAAATTTGACACTAATATCAAATCATCCTACCTCAATATAAATTTATACATCAACCGTAACTATTATCCTGATCAATAATTGAGTGGGATTTAATAACATTGCGAACAACAACTTCGACGTACGACTAACTTTATCCATATTTTATAATTACCTTAAAATATAATAAAAAATTTGGAAAGCTAACCGGATTTTCAAATATGTGTGGCTGTTTTGATCTGTCAAATAATATTTTAATGAAACTCCGTTTACAGGGTCGACAAAGTAAGCAACTGAGGATACATGTATTTAGGTTAGGTTGGAACTTATCAATGGCATTACTATTTGTCACTAATTATTTTTACTTAATTTTCTTTTAAGTCATTTAGTAAATAATTAAGTCAAGCTTAGACCTATTATCACTCTTAGCTACATCAATTATCTCTCACTTACAATCAAAGAACAGCCGCTGCCCTCCATCTCTGACCAGCACCGCCGGCTCCATCTCGACTCCGCTTTCCCGTGTTCGTCGCTGCACGTCCGTCGCGCAGACCGTGTGCTACTGTCTCGCCGCCGTGTGCTGCTGTCGTCCGTCGCTCCCTGCCACCGTGTGGTTCTGTCGTTGGATTTCAGAAAAAGTTGAATCGAGAAAAGAAAAATCTAATATAACATTATTAAAATTATCAAGGTAACTTTCTCTAAACGGCTCAAGCTAACACCCTCTCCCTCTACCCTTTAGCAGTTCAATTTCACGCCTAGTTCATGGTAACATTATTAAAATAATATTATTAAATAGCGGTTTTTATCTCAATTTTCGTTCCCGCCTAGTTCAACTGCAAAATGCTTTATACAAGTTTGATTCTGTATTGCATCTCGTAGTTTACTTTGCTTTATTTTGATCAGAAGAGTATATAATGGCTGCTATAAGTTTAAGGAATGCACTTGCAGTGTATTGCTGTAGCTTTTACATGTTTTCGATTAGTTTATAAATTTGTGCTTAATGGAATCGAAAAATAAAGAGGTGGGATTTAAGTTGTTAGGCAATGATATATATATGATTTTATATTATATATTTAACATGTTTTTAGACTTGAAATGTGAACAACGTATTGATCTACTCAAATGTGATTCAAATTTTTTTTTTTTTTTTTTTGGGTATGGAAATGTGATTCAATTTTTTATTATATGAACTGGATGACAAATATCATATCATAAAACACATACTTATGAAGATTTTAACATCATTACATGAATTAATTGTCTAAAAAATTTAAACTGTTAGATAAAATACAAAAATAATTTTATATTACAATGCATGGTGTTTGTGATTCCGAAGTCTCACCAAATTTAAAAATGTTGGTTCTGTTTTTCTTCATCATATTATTAGTGGATCTTGTAATAAGATAATAGTAGTAAGGGTCACGCAATTTTAAGCTCATTATGTTTTATTTGTTGAATAGGTAAACCTTTCTTTGATAAAATATAGGTATAAGTTAATATCTAGTAATGTATTTTATTTAATTAAAATATAAATATAATAGATTATTTTTCCAAGACTCATTTATTTTATAATATTAATCTCAATTTCTAAATATATTTTTAATTTTTCGTAATTATTATAGTAAATTATAAATGAGTCAATTTTTTAATTTTATCAAATACATTAATGAGATAATGTTTATCAAATTTTATGTTTTTTTAAATAATTGTATATTATTATAGATAAAATAAAAAAATTATGGATAAGTGATATTACAAATTAAAGAAATAGTTATAAAAAATAATATGTATTTATATTTTAACTTAGTGAGTAACATGCGCAAACATTGATCACAATTTATTATGTTACGGGATATTTAAAAAAGTTTGTGTCTAAAATTTAGAAATATAAATTCGTTGGAGAATTCTCTTTTTTTGTAATAGAAGTTTTGAAAATTCATATGTAAGTTTTTAAATATTTGCATCATTTTTTCATATATATTCAATGGAAAAAAACGTTTGTAATTTTAAATGACATAAAGTTATGTCATTTTAAGAGAGATAGACACAAAATATTATTATTTTATTTAAAATTTAAATAATAAAAAACATTCATTTTCTCTCCTATGATTTTCATTTGTTGTGTCTATCTTTCTCCTAAAATGACATAACATACATTTAAAATTACAAATATCAAACCCATATTCAATTACTTTTTTATTGTTGTATGGTGATTTTAGTAACAAAGAATACTTGAAGTTCAATGTTTATACTTATCTGTTGAACCAGTGTTCCCATGCAGTTGAACTTCGAAACCAGTCAATCCCTCAAGCATTGAACAGAAATCAGATACCCTCATGGATGCAAGGCTGGCCCAACTAGAAAAGGCAAAGCAACAAAGATTTGAAGAAAATAACCGAATCTCATATCCTAAGATCCAAAGGGTAGCTTCCATCTTGCGAAGAAATTCCAAGCATGATAAGTACTATTCACCCGCAATGATATCATTTGGTCCCATCCATCACGGTAGAGAAGATCTCAAGCAAGGAGAGCATTACAAGCTTTTATGGACATCAACATTTGTTGAAGAATACAGTAAAAAAACCAATCAAGATACCAATCGAGGAGCAAAACTTTTGCACGAAAAGATTGAAGATAACATTGAGGAATTGAAGAAGTTGTTCACAGAGGATGCAATTGGAAGCTACAATGATAACAAGGACCTCACTTGGATGTTGTTTGTTGATGGATGCTCTCTGCTTTATTTCATGGAAAATGTCGATCTTCTGAATCCGGAAGCACTAATGCTTAAGCTTGACCAGCAAATGTATATGTTCAGAGATATTCAAATGTTGGAGAACCAACTTCCAAGAAGATTGCTCCAGATGTTGTGCAATGAAAATGAGGCTAACTTGGATTGTTTAATGTTCAATTGTGTAGGCCTTGGTCGTTTCTGCAAACCAAATGGAGTGGTAAAAGTCCCAGATGAACTTCCTGAACCACTTCATATACTCGATTTGGTGCGATCAGTACATATGACATCCCCCAAAATCAAGAATTTCGGTACTGCAAAGGTGAATGATGTGGAGGATGGAGAGAATGTCATCAATCAACAAGGTGGTAAAGAACAAAACCAATTGGATTCCTCTACAGAGATGATCATTGTTTGGCAAACTTATAAGAACATAAAAGATCTTAAAACAGCTGGTATTCGTGTGATAGCTAATGAGCAAGATAAAATTCGTTGGAATAACATCTCTTTCACTTCTAAATGGTTTAGTGGAGAATTGAGTCTTCCTGTTTTTCTGTTCGATGATGGTACCCCTTATCTTTTTAGGAACTTGATAGCACATGAGATGTGTCCTGATTTTCATAACAACTTTGAATTTTGTTCATTCCTTTCCTTTATGGATTCCTTGGTTGACACTGCTGAAGACGTGAAGGAACTAAGATCAGCTGGTATAATCCAAAACTTACTCGGAAGCGACCAAGAACTGGCACAACTCTTTAATGAATTGGGGTATGATTTACCAACTAAACAGTACTGTAATTTCTGGTGCAGTCCGAAAGTTGGTTATAGCAGTAAGTATATTGTCATAAGGAAACAAATTGAAGAGCATTGCAGCAATAAATGGAAGACATGGTTGGCTGAAGGATACAATACTCATTTCAATACTCCTTGGACTATGATTGCATTTATGGCTGCATTTTTAGCGTTAGTTCTAACTTTTGTCCAAACCTGGTACGCCATATATCCTACAAATGCATGAGTCTCATGAAATAGGTTAGTAATAAGGTAAGAGTGTTTTGTAAGGTTTGGATCTCAATTCCTTATGAAAACTACGGTTGAGAACGACAACTCTGTATTGTGTAATGTAGCAATTATTATTAATTATTATGTTGGTTTATGATGTTTTGATGTTCTTGCTTTTACTACTTTGCATAAATATATCTTGTAACTAGAAAATTGGGATGCAAATGGTTTTTAAAAGGTGGACCCGGCTTGCTCGTTTACAGTGGTCGGGGAGCTTTGTGCTCCCTTTCCAAAAATAGAAAAAAAAAAAAAGATTGGGAGGGAATTTAGGAGAAAAATAAGGGTATAAATGAAAGAAGTAAGAATGTTGAACTAAGAATGTTCTTCGGCGAGGGTTAGTATAAAAAACTTCACGCGAAAAAAAGTGCAACCATAACTATTACTACTTTGTAGGACATGATAAAAAATGTGCTAACCACGGTGTAGAAGGGTGGAGAGTCCCAAACCTTTTACAAATGTATTGACCAAACGTCTCAGTCACATTTAGATTTTGCTTTTGGAGGATGTTTCTTCAATGAAGAGATTGAATCTCGTTATAAGATTATTGAAAATGTTACCGACAGATGTCTTCAATGGCCGAAGAAGAGAGAAATCTCTGCAAGAAGGCCAAGAATATTAGAGTTGGATGGTCAGACTACTATATCTGTGCAATCAGCAGCACTGATGAATAAAGTTAAGAGTATAAAAGATGATAAAAATCAGTCCAAAGCCAATTTTGCCCAACTCACCGCCCTTGTAGTTGAACCTTGTTCGGTTTGTGGAGAAGATCACGCATCATTTGATTGTCCACACACTGCACCTATATATTATGCTGATAACTATAGTGGTAGGGAAAAAAACTACCAGGGAGAAAACAACAACTATTCAAGAAGAAAAAACCATAATTATGATGTTATCAAAAAAAAAAAAAAACCATAATTATGACAATTCTGGACAGAGAGATTAGAACTACAATCAACCTTGGAGACCACCCATTAACCAGAGATTTTACAACAATCAACAGCAACCAACCCCAAATAATGGTGGGAACGTTGGAGCTTATGATCAAAATAGACCAAGACAAACCAATTCTCTGTTCCCCATAGAACAACAACGCATCAATTCCTTAGAGAATTTTATGAAGGAATATATGACAAGGAATGATGCTGTTGTGAGGAATATTGAGAGCCAGCTTGGGCAAAATGCCTTTACTCTTAGCACTAGACCATGCCTGGGGACACTGAAGTTCCTGTAAGTAATTTATCATTAATTCATTCATTCATGTTCAACAATAAACATTCAAGAACATGGTACAGGATCTTTAGAATTCATGATTTTCACATAAGAGCGTACCTTTCTCCATTAGTGCGAAAGAACTTTGATGATGGAAGATTGTTTCTCAGAGTCTTTACCCTCTGCTTTCCTTGTATCGTCGTCTATGGCAGAGATCTGATACAACTTTTATGGGCAGACCATGAAGGAGAGAATTCTGAGAGATAATCATAATCAGAGACTCACCATTTTTCTCTTTATATAACTGAACCATGTCACCAGTTACGGAGTTTCAAATAACTCCATGTAACTTCCCATTAATGCGAAACGTCAATTACCATTAATGCGAAACGTCAATTACCATAAAGCTTTTTTTATTATTAATTAAACCAATTGACACACGTTACACATGAGACACAAATAGTTTTACATTCTCCCACTTGGCTCATGTCATAAGGTGTCCCTTCATGATTTAATTAACATTCGTTGTAATGCGCATTTACTAGGCTAAAGGTTCCATACATTGACGTCATCATAATTCATTATTAGAAATAAAATCAACATGAGTCATGGCGGTTGTATGCTATCAAGTCGGCATAGTCCATTCCATGTACTACTATATTGACTCTTCTTCCTAACATGATACTTTAATAGGAAGTGTACATTATGTCCAACAATAATGTCTTCATAACGGACCATAAATATTTTCAATATCATCACATATACTTGCATGCATACATAAATTGAAAATAAGACAATAACAGAAATACATATTCATTAATGAGCTCAGAGTGTCAACACTTAATGCATAACTATAATTTTCATCATTCACTAGCTGACATAATGCCCATTTTACATACATGACCAGTAAATGTCTTGGGCGATAGTCCCTTCGTCAAGGGATCAGCTAACATAAGATCGATGCTAATATGCTCTATAGACACTATGTTTCTGAACCTCTTCTTTAACGACAAAGTACTTTAATTCCATATGTTTAGCACCTTTGGAATACTTGTCGATTTTAGAAAAGAAGACTGCTGCGAAATTATTACAATAAATTTTCAGCGGCTTTTCAATATTGTCGACCAATCCAAGCCCTGAAATAAAATTCCGTAGCCATTTAGCCTGAATCGTGGCTTCAAAGCATGCCACAAATTCAGCTTCCATAGTGGATGCAACTATTACAGTCTGCTTCACACTGCTCCTTCAGCTAAAAGATACAGGTAATCACATGTAGACTTTCTTGTGTCTACGCATCCTGCAAAATCCGAATCTGTGTATCCAATCACTTCAAGGTTGTTAGACCTTCTATAAGTAAGCATGTGACCTTTAGTTCCTTCCATTTCTTTTCGTTCCAATTCACTTTTAAGACATTGCATAAGACTAACATTGCATGAGACTAAACTTATCTCCTTTCTGAATTGGAACTGAAGATGATGAGCAGTTTTCCATTCTGAATCTCTCTAGAACTTTATTAATACATGCTTTCTGAGAAAAACCTAACAGTCCTTGTGATCTATCACGGAATATTTCTATTCCTATCACATAAGCTGTCTCACCCATATCTTTCATTTCAAAGTTACTAGAGAGAAACTTCTTTGTCTCAGTTAAAAGACCAAGATCGTTAGTTGCCAGCAAAATATCATCAACATACAGAATCAATAATATAAACTTTCTCCCACTGATCTTCAGATATATACATCGATCAACGACGTTTTCTTTAAATCCAAAGGAAACAACAATTAAACTTAAGATACCATTGTTGTGAAGCTTATTTAAGTCCGTATATTGACTTCTTAAGTTTGCACACCATGTGCTCTTTATCCTTTTCTATGAACCCCATTGGTTGGTCCATGTACACATCTTCATCTAAATTTCCATTTAGAAAGGCAGTTTTCACATCCATCTGGTGTAACTCTAGATCATAATGAGCCACCAATGCCATAATGATTCTTAAAGAATCCTTCTTTGAAACTGGTGAAAAAGTTTCTTTATAGTCAATACCATCTATCTGAGTGAATCCTTTTGCAACTAGTCTGGCCTTGTAACGTTCTAAGTTACCATGAGAGTCACGTAACTCAACAAGATCCTAAACCTTGTTCTGTTCCATAGATTTCAACTCATCTTTCATAGCATCTAACCACTTATCACCATTTTCTCCATTCATGGCTTATGAAAACGTTACTGGATCATCCTGAATACCCATGTCAAATTCAGACTCTTGTAGATATACCACATAATCATTAGAAATAGCAGGTCTACTTTCTCTTTGAGATCTTCTTAATGCTATTTGTTGTGGTTCTTCTACTATGGGTTCATTCGGTTCATCAACAATGATCTCTTCATGAGTAGTGAGATCATTAACTTGTCCTTCATTATTATTGATTGGTTCAATAGCATACGGAACAATAACATTACTAGAGCTACAAGGTAATGGAACTTGTACTCTCACTTCATGAATATCCACTTTACGTGGTGTTTCACTCCCACTAACTTCACCATTCTCAATGAACATTGCATTTCCAGATTCAATAATCCTTGTAGTATGATAAGGACAGTAAAATCTATACCCTTTCAATTTTTCTGGATAACCAATGAAATAACCACTGATTGTCCTTGCATCCAGTTTCTTTTCTTGCGGATTGTAGTATCTAATCTCTGCCTGACAACCCCAAACATGCAGGTGTCTTATACTAGGTTTCCTTCCAGTCCAAAGTTCAAAAGGAGTCTTTGGAACTGACTTACTAGGAACCCTATTTAATACATACATGGCAGTTTTTAGAGCATAAGTCCACAATGAAACAGGTAAAGAAGAATTACTTAACATACTCCTAACCATATCCAGTAAGGTTCTATTACGCCTTTCTGATACACCATTCTGTTGCGGTGTACCGGGCATTGTGTATTGAGCACAAATACCACGCTTTTTCCAGAAATTTAGCAAATGGGCCCGAATGTTGTCCATTTTCATCATACCTTCCATAATATTCACCATCCCTATCAGACCTGACAATCTTCACCTTTCTGTCTAATTGCTTTTCAACTTCATTAATATAAATCTCCAAAGCATTTGCAGCTTGAGACTTATCATGCAGCAAATAGACATAACCATAACGTGAATAATCATCAATGAAAGTGAGAAAATATTTTTCTTTATTGAAGGCATTAACATCAAACGAACCACATACATTAGTGTGTATAATTTCAAGAAGCTGAGTGCTTCTTGTGGCTCCTTTTTTTTTATGTGTTTTGTTTGTTTTCCTTTAATACAATCCACACAAACATTCAAATCAGTAAAATCTAACTCCGGAAGGATTTCATTCTTCACCAATCTTTGCATCCTTTCTTTGGAAATATGTCCCAAACGTTTGTGCCACAAGTAAGCGGAACATTCATTAATTAAGGTACATTTAGTACCAACATTATGATGCAGAGTCATAAGTGTTTCAGCATAAAGATTATCAACTGAAACTACCACTACCAAATTTAAAAGAGTACCCAGCAACATCAAGTTTGGAAATTGAAACTAAATTCCTAGATATACTAGGGACATGCAAAGTTTCACATAAGTCCAAATGATATCCACTGTCGAGAATTAAACGATAAGTCCCAACAGCTTCCACCGGAACTTTCACTCTATTGCCCATAAAGACAAACTTTTCATTTGGCCTTGTGGATTTTAGAAGAAGAGGCCTCATTCACTTTAAGGGGTCCTCCTCCTCCTCCTTTCTTCTCATGCTTCTTACCTTTATTCTTTTCAGCTCCTTGATGCTTTACATAATTGACAGAATGAGTTCCCTGATTCTTAATTCTGGTTTCTTCCTGAACTAACATACTATGCAATTCATGCACATTTCATTTGTCTTTCATGGTATTATAGTTCATTTAGAAAGGACCATACTCAGACGGTAAAGAGTTCAATACGAACTGCACCAGGAAGTTCTCATCCACAGCCATTCCCAATGCTTGTCATTTCAATAACATGCTCATGCATAGTACGCGAACCATCAAACTTCATGGTGGTCAATGTACTCATAAGTGTCCCAGCAAGAGACTTATCAGCGGTTTGGGAGCGCTCTTCCACAAGTTTCATCATTTCGATGGCACTTTCAGTTTGTGGAAGAGCTGACTTAATGTTGCTTGCTATGCTCATTTTCATGTACATCAAACTTAATCTGTTGGATCTTTCCCAGTTCTTAAAATGGTTCCTTTCATCCTCAGTGCTTTCAGGAGTAATAGCACTAAGCTCCTCTTCTCTTAGAGCCAAATCCATATCCATTACCCCAAGATAAAAATTGATTTGCTCTTTCCATTCAGAGAAGTTCAGCCCATTAAAAACTGCAACAGTTGAGAACATGGAATGTGTGGCAACAGGTACTGCAAGGAATAATATTTAAACAGTAATGCTTTGAGTCATACATGTCACATACTTCACAGATTCAACTATAATAACTTCAATGCATATCAATGTTCGCCTTTGGGGATCCATTAACATACAACAT